CTTCTCCCGAAGGACTCAGGACGGTGCACAGCCACAATAAAATAACATAGCTCCATAAAATTTAAAAACAGTTTAAAACATATTAAATAATTTGGCCCTTATTAAAAACTAAGAAACTAAAATACCCATTAAAATTATTTAAACCAGCCCAGCCTGTTGAAATAGTAAGGTCTTAAGGGCACGGCGAAAGGTACGTAGATCAGGGATCATACGTATCTCTGGAGGCAGTTCATTCCAGAGGGCAGGTACCCCCAAAGAGAAGGCCCTCCCCCTGGGGGTCGCCAGTCAACATTGTTTGGCTGACAGCACCCTGAGGAGTCCCTCTCTGTGGGAGCGTATTGGCCGGTGGGAGGCTATCGGTGGCAGAAGGCAATCTCATAAGTACCCAGGTCCTAAGCCATGGAGCGCTTTAAAGATGGTAACCATCACCTTGAACCGCAGCTGGAAGACCACCGGCAGCCAGTGCAGCTCACGCAGGAGAGGTTTTACTTGGGTGCGTCGTGTCGCTCCCATAATCACCCGCGCAGCCGCATTTTGGACAAGTTGGAGCCTCCGAGTGCTCTTCAAGGGGAGCCCCATGTAGAGAGCATTACAATAGTCCAGACAGGAAGTGACGAGGGCATGAATGACCGTTTGATTGCTTATTAGTAACCTATGACTATCACTAAGTGTTGTATCTTATGATTCTTGATGAATGTATTTTATTTTTCTGTATGTACACTTAGAGCGTATGTGCCATAGACAAATTCCTTGTGTATCCAATCACATTTGGCCAATAAAGAATTCTATTCTATTCTATTCTATTCTATTCTATTCTATTCTATTCTATTCTATTCTATTCTTCTTATCCTAAGTCTAAGTCTTAGTGTCTTTTTTATTTCCCTTCTATATCAGCTTTTTTCCAGATAGTTCATAAATGTATTGATGGCTGATGGCGAGAGAGAATGTTTCCTGCTGAAGCATTCTCAGAAAAAAAAAAAATTTAGAGAGAGAAATAGTGGTGTATGTAATAAGTGTCATCAGAGTACTTTGTACACTTAAATATCTGAGGGGAGAGGTCAACAAATATATCAGTAACAATTACATCATAAGGCGCCAATAAATGCAATATTTTTGCAGGACCATATGGTATATTATGAAAACAGGAAGATACATGTAGCAAGGAGGCATGCTAAAAGGATGGAACTAAAAGTTAGAAGGGAGACTGATTTTTAAAAAGTAACATCAGTTAAGTAAAGGCTAACTAAAGCTTTGTTCTTTCAGAAAAAACAACAACCATAGAATGAAAATCTCATTCTATCAAGATATTCCAAAAACATAGAGCTAAGTAAAAGAGTACATCTTCAAGAATGAAATCTGGCAAGAAATCTGAGGTTTAATTTAAATCATTTAGAGGTAGTCCCCAATTTACAATTATTCGTTTGGCTACTATTCCAAGTTACAACTCTGATGAAAAAAGTGATTTATGATTGGCCCAATCATAAACCATCGCAGCAAACCCAAGTGATCAAAAATTGGGTGCTTGGCAACTGGCGTGTATTTATGATAGTGGCAGCATCCCAGGGACATGTCATTGCCATTTGTGACCCTCCCAGCAATGTTCTAACAAACTAAGTCAAGAAGCCAGATTTGCTAAATGACCATGTGATTCACTTAACAACAGCAGTGATTCGCTTAATAACCATGGCAAAAAGGTAATAAAATTGGGCAGGAGTCACTTAATAGCTGCCTTGTTTAGTAACAGAAGCTGTGATCCTAAATCAACAATTCCTTGTGTAGCACATTTTTCTTTTTAATTTCTGAAATCTGCTTCTTTTACACAGTCCAACATGCTGCTAGGAAAGGTGTGATCCTCCTTCCTAACCCCACCACCCAGGCCTATTTTCTCTTTACATAGTGATTGTGAAGGCAAAATGCCAACCAATTCCTTGAGTTCTTTTTCAATCAGCATTGGCTATGCTGCACCAGCAAATACAGAGCTTGAGGCAGTTACAGATGATTTATGTGATTACATTAGACAACCTTATTTTCAAACTGAACACACTTTTCTTGGTCTCTATTACAGGAAATCATGTCCAGGCTTGTAGAAATTTATTTGTCAGTATCTTTTCACCCCCTTATATCTAGCCAACAATAATATTCCTATAACTTAGTGTTTATTTATGGACTAAAATGTGGAGGAGCTGAAGGGGCCGCAGTTGTCACATGCAACAAATGCTTGCATGACAACAACACGAATGTCATGTCGACATGAAGGTTGATAAATCAATTGTTTATGGCCTAAGCAATCTGCAATAACTTTAACATACCCTATTAAATCCCGCATGGAGAAGTGGGAGAACAGAAGCTTCTTCCTGACCAGCAGATCTACAGAAATACAAAATATATTATCAGTCAATAGAGTCGATGTATGCGGTTGCTAAGAGTTGATACCACACCAACATGATGGCATTGAATCAATCAATCATTCAAAAAATCCACTTTTTGTGGTTGTATTTTATTTTGGTGTGGGGAGGTTAATATCTCTATGGACTACAGAAGAAATGGCAGAACTGTAGTAACATCTTCAGAGAGAGCAAGACTAAAAGGCTTGGTTTTTCTTTCCTTGATTTTTTTTAAAATCAAAATAGGTGTGTCACGCTTTTGGGTTTTTTTAAAAAATAAAAGTCACATGAAAAACCATACATTTGCTGCGAAATTTTGCAAAGATCATTCTGAGAAGCTCTGGAGGCCACAAGAAAAAAAAAATGGAGACACGGAGAGGCACCCTTCCTTACTGCCAAAGAAATATTCATGTTGCATTCACAAATGACAACTCATGATGGATATATTTATTGTTGTTCTTTCAGCTTCCCAACTATTATGAATTTTCTAGAATTTGGTCTTTTTTATGTGTTGCTAAGATGGGCACAGAAAAACCCAACTAAGCTGTGGTTTGTATGGTGTTTGATGGTAAAAGGTTTGAACTCGTCTCTTGGAACCCCTGTCAGAAACTTTGCTGCAGAGAAGGCTTGAGCGTTGTTTGCTTTGATCTCAAGTCTCCTTCCAGGAGCAACCATACCATGTCCTAATGGTTTCTAAATGAGATTTCAACCATGTAATGATTTATGTGTCAAAAGAATCTTCTGATGGTTTTCTGATCATTTTCTAGGCCGGGAAAAAATTGAATTTCAGTGACATGTTGACAATGGCAGTCCAGAAAGTAGTACCTTTCATCAGAACAAAGCTAGTTTTTATTACATTTACATTTAATTAAAATCAAATGTAATTATATTTGAGAACTACATAGTTCTCCTTCTGTCCCCATTAACCATTACAATATTTGGTGATCTTCAGCGGACACTACAGGCTTTAAAGAGTTGTATGCAGGTATGGGGCCTCAGCTTATCCTCTGACATAAACTAAGATGTTCATAAGAAACTGTTACTTATTCACTGAATAACCATACCCATTAAAAAAGTATATAAAATAAGCATGTGTCCCCAAAATACTTACACTTGTAAGGTAACAGCTATTATCACAGTATGTTCAGCAGGTTTTGTAGCACGAATTGACCTGGAATGAAGAAAGTTCAGGCCATATTTGATTAAACAATTTTATTAACAAAAATTTACCAACCACATTTTAAAATGGGTTGCATAATTATGTGAATCTTATTCTCTCTCTCTCTGTTTTTACACAGTGTAAAGACAGCAAGCAAATCGGATGTTATTTTACTCATTGTTCTATTTTATGAAAGGCCAGGCCTAGATTGCTAAAAAAACAGATGAAACAATAAATTCTGCTAAATTGAAACAGATTCTTGGCAAGCAAGATTGGATCATATAGAACCAATATACTGAAAGCATATCTGCAGTTATGCAGGCTAGTAAGAAGAGAGTCCTTATTAAACTTGGGTTTTGAATTCTAAATAGATTATATTGGCTGAAACTCTTCCGTTAGAAGGATATTGTCTCAGAAGTCATTCAACTGAAACATTATATGGACTATATGGATGGTGGTCAGCAGTCAGAGAAGGAATATGGGTTGTTCAAAGCTTAACATAACAGTTTTGGCTTCTATAAAGCTGGCAAGAACAAGGTTCTATCAAAGCCCATAGTGACTGATTATTCATTTATCCCGCTCAGCTTATTATAACAAAACAGTGACTTTTTTGTCACAAGATCCTGAATATGGGATCATGTGTCCTTTCCCAAGAAAAGCAATATAAGCCTCATTTTCATCATTCTACTGCAGTATCCTGATTTTTTACACATGTACTTAATGCTGAAGATACAAGTTTTAGGCAGAGCTTAGACGCAGTGTTAAAGCAAAACATCTATTGGCTCTTTTGCAGTATATATGATTTGAAACAAATTGCATGTTTGTGTACTCCAGAACCTAGTCTATAAATTAGAATCTGGCTAAGTCTTCATTTATGCTTCTCTATGCCAGCCCAGCTGATTGTTGCCATTTTTTCCATCAAATATCAGACTTCAAGAGCATTTTTCCTAGCCACATTTGACATATTACCTTCAGCTGTTAGACATGATAAGATCCACTGTTTTGAATTTTTTTGCTACTATGGTTCTCATGCAACAGAGGATGTAGGCCCTGTTTTGTTATTTTGCAGTTTTTACAGAGATTTATGAGCCATAATAAACATGCCCCTTCTAAAAGACTTTTCTGGCATAGAAGATGAAATATAGATCTCATTCCTCCTATCCCATTATCAGATCAATATTACATATTTCACAGACAAATTTTGTTTAGCAGTCATGAAAATACACTCTTGGATTTGCCATAGCATATCAGAATAATTACAAAATTTTTGAAACTCCTCAGATTACTAATGATGCTACTACTATAAATAACGTGTGGAGGTCCAGGGTCCAGAGGTAAAAACTTTTACTTTGATTTTACTTTTGAGTTTAATTTTCTATGTTACTTTTTTTGTATTTGCATGCTTCATCCGACCAGCCAAGGATAATCAATAGAATGTACTTCTACTGTTTATACAGGAATTGAATTTCATAAATGCCTTAATGGATGGACTTCGGAGGATCTGATCATTAACTGCACTGCTATGTAAGTAACTATCTGCAATATAGATCAGAGGTGAAATCCAATTTTTTTAAACTACCGGTTCTGTGGGCGTGGCTTGGTGGGTGTGGTGTGGCTTGGTGGATGTGGCTTGGTGGGCGTGGCAGGGGAAGGATACTGCAAAATCTCCATTTCTACCCCACTCCAGGGGAAGGATACTGCAAAATCCCCATTCCCTCCCCACTCTGGGGCCAGCCAGAGGTGGTATTTGTCGGTTCTCTGAACTGCTCAAAATTTCCGCTACCGATTCTCCCGAACCTGTCAGAACCTGCTGAATTTCACCCCTGATATAAATGCATCTGACCCAACCATCAGTTAAAATGGCCAGAGCAATGGTCAGTTTAGTCTTTACTTTCTCAGCAAGACTCCTGATCTTATTTTTGGTTTATGGAGAGCCATCTCCCAGGCATGTCTTTTATTTGACTTTATGCCTGTCATTGGAAGACAGAACAAGGAAGAAATACCCTGGTTCCACAGGATTCTGGCATATGAAAACATCTTCCTTGAACCTCCACAGACTGGGAAGTTGCCATGACTCCATGATCAAAGCCCTGCTGCTTTTTCATATATGTTGAACATGTAACACATATAAAAAGGACGCAGCTATCACCTTGATTTTTTTTACCTCTTTCTCATATATGCCCCATGTAGAGAACTGATAAATCCTTCTCCTTAAAATCTAACTTTTTTATATTCAGAGATTTCACACACTGATTTCATATGGAAGAACATCTCATCATATGACAGCCCACTCAATTGTCCAGGAACAGTTTCGATACTGAAGTTAGGAAGTGAATATAGAAATTGCATAATAGTATTTTCCTATACTGCCAGGGTCATATGAAATACAAGAACAAGTAATTACCTACAGATGGCTTCTGCATCAAAGTGTCTGGGGTTTCGATAATCTATAACAATTATTTCATGATGTTTATCAAGAAAGCATTCAAGTGCTGATTCTGGTGTCCGAGCAATGTTACACCTATACCCAGCTTTATTACAAGCCCACCAGAATCCATCACTCTGTTTGTCTTCTTTTGCAAAGATTAACAATACCTATAAAAATACAGAAGATAGTTTAAAATTACTATGCATTTAAAACAATAATTTTAGCCTATGACAATAAAATAAAATAAAGTAACAACTAAACTAACTCTTTCACTGTATAATTGACTCAGTAATGTTTAGTATTAAATTATTTTTTTAAAATATCCTCATAGCCCCCATGGATGCATTCACTTTTCAAAAGCAAGAAATAAAAAGCAATGTTTTAAATGTGTGTACATATTTGAATGTTATTTTTACTTTTAAAGACATAAGCTTTATATTGCCGAAGGGATATGTGTGAGCTTGTGAATGTGTCTATAAAGTTTCTATTCTTAACTATGTCTATTTCATTTCTAATGATGTCATCAATGGTCCAGAATATAATGATGCCACTACCTCCACCTTTCAGTTCAGTGAATAATATACATCTAGACTATCTATCTATCTATCTATCTATCTATCTATCTATCTATCTATCTATCACCTACCTACCTACCTACCTACCTACCTATCACCCAAATTATTGGGGTCAATATGCTGACTTTGTAAGCCTTAGAGAGGGCTGGAAAGCACTGGAAAGCGGTATATAAGTCTAAGTGCTATTGCTATTGCTATCTATCTATCTATCTTTATTTTATTATTTTATTAGTCATATTTCTATGCCGCCCACTCTCCGAAGACTCTGGGCGGCTTACACCAAAGACAGTATTCTAAATAGCATATTTCCCCCAACAATCTGGGTCCCCATTTTACTCACCTCAGAAGATGGAAGGCTGAGTCAACCTTGAGCCGGTGAGATTTGATCCACTGATCTGTGAACTAGCAGTCAGCTGAAGTAGCTGCAGTACTGCACTCTAACCACTGCACCACCTCGGCTCTTTTTATCTATCTATCTATCTATCTATCTATCTATCTATCTATCATCTATCTATCATCTATCTATCTATCATCTATCATCTATCTATCTGTAGACTTTCTTAAACTTCCAGGAGGTACCCCCCAAGTATCTTTAAAGGATTCTTAAACCCTACAAAATGAGTTTTTTTGGGGGGGGCTGTAGAACTTAATGTTTATTGGTAAAGTAAGACAGATAGGTTTTTTATTGCCAAATAAAAGAAGTCCTACCTGAATAGGATCTTGTGTCAGTCTCATAGGTCCAATTTCTGTCTCAGTAGTTGAAGCCTGCTTAAAAAAAAAAAGCAGCATGTAAGTCTTTGTTTTGTCCCATTGTGAGTCTATATTAATGGCATTTCATTACAATGATTAAACTAATGAATAAAAATAATTTATTGTTTGATAATTTTCTCTACAGTTCTGGCTTCAAACAAAGCCCAGTCATATACTGTAAATTTTTGTGTTTTAAGCCAGAAGAATGATCCTTAGGTCTATACTGAATTATTCTTTCTATTTATACAGACTTCAGAATTCTGGACTTTCCTGCTAGGAAGCATAGCTATCAGTCTCTAGAAATTTATCAACAGCTTATTTATTGAGAGTTCTGCAACAGGAACTCTTCCAGTTATTCTTAGCACAACTCAGTCAAAATCACATTTTGCTCTTGAAACAAATCAGATTAACTATTCCTCTGGCAGGAAAAGACTATGGAAATGATTGGGGCTTGTGATTTCATAATCATATTCTGTCAGAACAGTCTTGCTTATTGTTCTATTCACACAATTTAAATGTCAGGTACTGAAGTGTAGCCTAACAGACCCTTTCTGTATATAGAAGACTAGGTTTCAGTGTTCAAAGATATTTTTATTCCTGTAAGACATGAAGCACTATAGTACATCATTTTGATTCTAAATGCTCCTTGAAGCGAATTAATGTTTAAAGACACATTCCATAACCATAAGCTAAAATCATACTTGGAATAAGTACAATTGAATTGAGTGAAACCTATTCAAGAAGAATATTTGTCAGATAACAACTGCAGACCACTGGGACTTCTTTGGGTTTTTGAAGTTTCACTCAATTTTATAAACTTCCAGTGGACTACCCTTGTATTTATATTTATCATTTTACCTAGAGCTGTGCAAAGAGTTCAAATTAGGTGTCCACAAAATACTTTAGTGCAAACAAAGCACCTCTCTTAAATGATTAAAGGAGCCACATCCTTTGGGAACTTCATTCAGCTGCTTCAAAAGCCTTCTTCCAATTATTTGCACATTTGTGTATTTAGACAGGCAATATTTTTGTTACGACTGCCAATGAAATGAGATTACTAGGCACGGACATGCTTGCAGTCAGGAACAGTTATATGAGCTTTAGATGAGCTTGCTCTCCCACAGACATCATACCAGATAGATTCTTTATTGCAAGTCATGAAGAACTGCCTAAAGAAGACAGTTGCTAAAGTATCCAGGAGTCGAATCATATTTAATTATTTGAAGAGAGGTTTTTATTTGCTGTCATAAGTTTTGTACAGCATCTTTCAAAAGTTTTGCACAGTCCTAATTTTAGTTAGCTTACTTATTTATTTTACAAATTTCTATTCCATTGTTAGATTCTGGATAGTTGTCAAAAATGACCAACAGAATAACCACCATCAACAAAAGCCATGGTAAAATTAAACATTATAAAATCTCTACAAACAATGCAACTAATCCACAGCCCAAATCCTGATGATCCCATTACTTGACAAATACTTGACAGAACATAATTGGTTTTTCCATCCTCTTAAAATATTGTCTACCCTTTGGGGCAGGAGGACCCCTTCACAGCTAAAGAAGAAACAATTGAGAGGATTTATCATCAGTACTACCCCTTTTAGGCAAGAAGCCCCAAGGTTGCCCTCCATTGACATCATACCAGATAGGTTCTTTATTGCCAAGTAATGAAGAACTGCCTGAAGAAGACAGTTACTTAAGTATCCAGGAATCAAGCCACATAGAACTTCATAGATTAACCAGAACTTTGAATTGCAATCAGAAACTTTAATGAAATCTTTATTGAAAAGGACTAGGAGTGACATGATAGCAGTGTTCCAATATCTAAGGACCTGCCACAAAGAAGACGGTGACCAACCTATTCTTCAAAGCACCTGAAGGCAAAACTAGAAGCAATGGATGGAAACTAATCAAGGAGAGAAACAACCTAGAACTAAGGAAAAATTTCTTCACAATTAGAATAATTAATCATTGGAATAACTTGCCTACAGAAGTAGTGGGTACTCTGATGCTGGAGGTTTTTAAGAAAAGACTGGACAACCATTTGTCTGAAATAGTATAGGGTTTTTGCTTAAGCAGGGGGTTGAACTGGAAAACCTCCAAGGTCCTTTCCAACTCTGTTATTCTGTTAAAATTACTAGAAACTGGTGCAACATCTACAAAAGCATTGTAATGTGACTATAGCAGTGTCACTGGCCAAGAACTGAGTGGATGCAATATTGGACCAACTTCAGTTTCCAAGTGGTCTTCATGACAGCCCCAAGTAAAGCACATCACACTAGGCACTGCCCTATGATAAGGGCATGAGTCATTGTTGCAAGGACCCGGATTCAAATGACCCACTCCTTCAGCATGAATCTAGTTCACCCAAGCTTCTTTGGTTGCCAAAAAAATAAAATAAAATGAAATTTTAGTGAAGAGAATTTGAAAAATGCTTTTGAGAATTATAACTGGTTTAATATGGTGATACAATTCTACTTTTATTGGAGTAAATATTCCGTTGTTTGGAACACTTCAAAAAACAGTTTCCCAGAAAAACACATCAAGAAATAATGCTCAACATGAATCCTATGTTTTCCTGATCTATGATTTGCCTCATTGATGCTTCTTTAGTGGTATCCAACATAAACTAAATTGTTTATTCTAACATTAATAGGCTGCTCAATTAGCCCAACTCAAACTCTCTTACTGAGTTACACCATAAGCACAATGCAGAATGAACGTACATTTCATTAACACTGTCAGTAATGCAGTAACTGCAGCTCACAA